CACAGTAGGGGAGTCGCAGGCTGTCACTGATTTCAGGGATGTTGCTCCTCCAGCTGCTGCGACGCTTTCAGATCCGGCAGCATTTCGTTTCTTTTCAAAACGATAACGGAGTTTCTTTTTCTGACTTGTGGACTGAAAGTCTGTGTGAGGACATTTTAATTATGGCTGATTAAAGGACACAATTTAATTAGATACCAGGACTGCGAGAGGACGGTCAAAAATTATGATCCCAATTATTTAGTCGAGATGTGATTACTTATCACCATTTCTATTTTTTTTTTTTTTTAGGAAACGAAACTATTTGACTGAACTAAAGTCAATGAAACGTTTTGGTTTCCTTGTATTATTTATAATTGGGAAACTGAAATTCTGATATATATAATTATACCCAGCTAATTATACAACCTGACCATAAACTGTAACCTTGTTCTGCTTTATTAATCCTCAGTGAGTCATTAACCGCATAATAAGACACAACATAGTAAAGGTGAGACAAACTGTATTATAATCATTAAAAAGAGGCATTTTAGCTTGCACTGGCACAAACACATTGCCTGTGAACTGTGTAATTACTGGAAGTAGTGATTGCTTGTATTTTCCAATATATTCTGACATTTTCTAGATTTAAAAACTGAATTAACTGGGGAAAAAAAAGATTAATTGATCATTAAAATAGTCGATAGATACGGCCCTGCACACGTTGCACTCACTAACTTCGGGTTAGATTCTTAGGTGATCTAACACTAAAAGTAAAGTGTACGTCAGTTACGCTGTACGTGGATCTAGCTAACGTCACTGCTAAAGAAGCTACATGCAAGTATTGTTGGCATGCTGCTGTGGCGCTAATGTAGCATAATGTCATCTGCTGTTTCCAGTTCACTGTAGGGTTAAAACACTCAAAGATAAGTCAGAACGCAGATCTTTTACCACTTGAGATGTGATTTTCATGATTATGGATCCCTGAGCCTGTTTGTTGGTTGAGTTTAAACTGTCCATGTTGTTCACTATGAATGTAATGACCTACTGGAGGTTCTGAGCTAAGTGAAAACCTATTAAATTCCAAGGTTTTGGTTCATTTGATGTAGGTATTTGCTGGTTTCAAGCTCTTAAGGGTCTCTCCTGATGATGTGGTTAAGACAGATTTGACCAGTTCCAGTTCTGATCTGTAGCTGATCCTGACCGTTGGTGTCTCTTTCAAAGTGAGTGTCCTTAAATGGGCCAATTAAACGGCCCATTAACTCCATATCAAACTGTCTGTCCTCATCCCAGACGGAGAAAAAGACAATGAAGACGTCCTCTCCACGTCGTCTAAGATGGAAGATGATGAGGATGCAGAAGAGGAAGATGAGCTTCAGGCCGTGGCCAAGCACTTTGGCAAAGACCTCGACGAGCTCACACTGGAGGCTCTGATAAAACTTGAACAGAGGGGACCGGAGGAGGAAGAGGAGAACCAGGAGCTGGAGGAGGATGGCGTCCCAAAGAGAAAAGCCCCGTCGCTGGCGTCCATCCTGGGAACGATGCCGACAGCGGCCACTCTCGGCCTCCCGGAGTCCATCAGCGGCTGCATCGGAGACGAGAAGGAGAACGGTGAGTGCAGCCTGAAGTTATTCCTTCTGTCTTATCATATTAGACGCCTCATTTTTAGGCAGAACAATCGCATTAGGAATCAAATTACCAGGAATCAGATTAACTAGATTGGAGGTTTTTTGTGGTTTTTGTCACAGATTGCTGATTTCTGGGGCACAATAATCTCATTTGTAGGCAAAAAATAGCTCTCAAGTTTCTTTCCGTGCTCTGTTTTTGTTAGATTTGTTTTCAGAGATGTCATCTATTCGCTCGTTGCATTTTGATGTGTTATCAGTGTGATCCAAACAGTGTTCAGCAAAGCTCGACTATACGCACAATAGTTGGAGTCAAGCAATTTGGAGAATCAAGTGTGTTTAAGACAACATTTGAGGCATTATATTGTTTGATTGAGCAAACATCTTTATAAAAGCAGCATTACCCTTTAAGATGTGACTGCGTCTGGTACCTACTGTATCACCATAATAACCCATAATCAAGTTAAAGAATGCTCTCTCAGGTTTAATTGTCGTAATTACCTCTGCACCAGAGTGAAATTGGCTGAGCTGCGTGTGAAATTTGTCATCCCTCATTATATTTTACCCTCTTTAGTACACTACAGACAGGGAAGGAATGTGTGGGAGACGTTCAGGAGCAGGGTTTCTTAACCCTTGAGGCGTTTGAGATGTGGATTTGTGCCAAAATACTCAAAGTTGCTGCTGTTGTTTTGTTTATTGGTGCTTCTCTGGAGAGGTGGTGTGTCAGTTTATTGTACAGTTGTTAATGGTAGTGTGGTCAGGTGAACCAAATAATTGTGCAAAGACTTAAAGAATTTATGTCCTCTGCATGCTCAGTGAAAAATCTAACTTTTCCTAACAATGGATGTACTTTGAATCCGTCTGAGAGCAGCCAATGTTGCTCGAGCAGGAGATAAAGCTACATGTGGCAGCGCAGACAGCAGATACATAAGGACCTGTTTAAGTCTTGAAACGCAAACTTAAGGTCTTGGTCCTGACTTTCGACTTGGTCTTGACTTGGAACATGTTCTTGGATCTTGATTTGGGACTTGTTAGTATTAACTTGGACTGATGCTCATATTCAGCTTCTTCTTCATGTGTTTTTAATGCTCATGACCACCACAGAGGAACAATAAATGCAGTTGAATCAATCAACTACTTAAAGGATAAGTCTGGTTTTATTCTATATTTTTGTCAACAATAGACGTCACCCAGTGTGGCTCATTGATGTGTTTTTAATAGTTTTTGGACGACAGGAAGAAGAGACGTCAGGCTTTGATACACACACACACAATTACTTATTATTAGTTTTGGTGTTTTCATGAGATTTGTGGAAAAATATATAAAATATCTTTGTGACTTTGAGTCAGTGTTGTTTACAGGCTCTTGTAGCCAGGTAACGTGAACCTAAATGAACCAAACATGAGAACGTTTCTGCTGCGGTTGGGATGAAAAAAAAAGACAGCAAACAAACCGCAGGAGTGATCACACCCTCTGTCAATGTGACTTATTAACAGTTGCAAAAATAAAACAAATATGGGGATCCATCATGCGTTGCCTATAATTACTTAATTACATGAGTAGGGTGTTCTGCGTCCCCGCCCCTCCTTATCTGGGTGTACGGAGGCGTTGATGGATGCGAGGTAATCGTGCCGTGCAGCTACATCTGTCCTGATGAGGAAAACCTGCGTTTTTACGGCTCTGAGTGGGAGGACGGGGAGTCGGGAGCGGTTCGGGGTGGGAGGTGAAGTGTGTTTTGATGGATGAATGTTGTGAGGGAAGAGGTGGTGAAGTGGTCTAATGTTTGCAGAACATCCTTGAGCTTAAAGGTCACACGTTTGAGCCCCCTGATGAAGCTTCTCTGTGGCCGTGAATACTGACCTGGCCCCGATTTTCAGTTTTTCTGGAAACGCTCTGATTTTATTTTACACAATATGGCTTTGAAGGCTGAGTGCAAGTGGAAGCTGTTGAGAGCATCTTAGCATTGGCTTCAGTGGTGCTGAAGAGGTTGGTGAATACACTTTAAAGTAACGTGGTGTATAATTTAACTGTCTGTAATCTGTGCTACAAGACTAGAAGTCTCCAGCCATCCTCCTGGCTTTGGGAGGCTGTGCTTTGTCACAGGAGGGCTTAGAGCTAAATGCTAATGTCTGCATGCAAACATGCCGACAGGGTATGATGTTTACAACGTTCACTATTTTACTATAGCATGCCAACATTTCAAACATCAGGGCCATTAGTGTTGTGGGTGCAATAAAAGATCACCAAAGTTATTCAAGTTCATCCTGATGAGAACCTGAATGTCTGTAACACATTTTACGGCAATCCATCCAATTATTGGTATATTAGGTCGTCATTGTAAATGAGAATTGCTTCTCAATTGACTTATCTTGTTAAATAAAAGACTAAAATATGCCTCTAATCATAAAGGAACCCAAAGACACAGTTCATACTTGAAGTGTCACAATGAAGCTTAATGTGAAGTCAGCAGTCTGCAGCTTCCTTCTCTTTACTGATGTATAGACGTGGTAATTTATGTAACATGTTACTGGGTGGACGTAGCCTAAGTTAAGAGAGTAAAGTTTGAGTGATTTAGCTGTTACTCTTGAGCACAAATGAACATAATTCATTGTGACATTAGGAGAATATACAAACCATAAATAAGAAGGGGAAAAAAATAATAAGGTGCTGTTTACATTCCACAGATGCAAATTTTATGATCTATTTTATTTTATATATGTTCTATAAATGTAATTATCTGTGTAGCATGAAGGGACTGCACACTTTAATTTTGTTGTATAACCCCTATGAACCAATTTCATTGATATGGAAACGAAAAGAGGGAGAGGATGATTATAAACTGCATTTTTTTAGTTATTGTCTCTGATTTAAACATGTGCAAATGTCCCTTAACAGAGAACATCAATGGTCATGATGAAATATATTGACTTAAAAATGAACAAAATCAATAAAAACGTGTTAATCTATGATCATTTCTAAGAGGCAATGGTTTTGGGAAACACATCAGACACTTAAGAAGGTTCATAAAATGGATTTTATGTTAATCCGATACGGTTAACGATAATGGTAAAGATGCTTTTCAGTCCCTTTAAGTTAAGTTCCACTCAACAGCTGAAATGTAAATCGTGTGGTGCTTCATTTAGAGCACTCAGTCACCATATTACATCAGTAATGAAGTTAAATACAAAATGCAAATCTGAACTTTCCTGGTCTCTGTAAAAACATGCCCTCCCCCTAAAACACCCATATCTCAGGTCAAACCACCCATTAACCCGACAAAAACGTCCCCCAATAATGCCGCTGACCTCATTTCATCATGGGAACAACACAACAGGGTCGAGGTTAACAGTGAGAGGAGCCTCAATTTCCCAACTGCAATTAATCACAGCGCTCTGAATCACAAGCTCTTATGTTAATTGTAAATGTGTTTTTTTAAAAAGAGGAAAAAAAGAATCTGTTTGGAGTGATGTTAGTTTGAGTCATCCTCCTCAAAGTCGGCGTATCACGAGGCTCATCGTATGTGTGGCCGTGGATGACAAAAAGAAGAAATGAAACACGGCTGCGATTGAAGGGTTTAATCGTTGGCCGGTGGGACTGGAGGCTGATCTCACCAGGGAGCTGTCTGATTAGAGGTTACGGGCTCATTCCCCTGAGAGTTTGTGTCTGTCTTTAGGATTGTGCTGCCATATGATTCAGCAGTTTATGATCTCAGGAGACCATTTAAAAAAATACCTGATTGGTCAAATGCAAAAGGGAGAAACACAATTGGGGATTTCTTTTTCTGTTTTTCTCTCCAGTGACAGTTGACAGTAGCACAATACCCGGTAGGAACGCATCCTTTAAATGTAATAAAATAGCAGATTTGCTGGTCTGTTAACGTGCATTAATGCTGGGACATTAAACAGTGGTCCATCCCAGTTTCATATTTTGGGAAATATGCTTATTCACTTGCTGAAATTGAGTTGAAAAGATTAATACCACTAACCTGTCTGTACGGGGAATATGCAGCTATAGCCAGTTAGCTTAGCTTAAAGACTGGAAATGACAAAACAGCTGTAGCCTGGTTCTGTCTCTAGGTAACAAAATCCACCTGTAAACCCCAAACTTTATACTTTTTTGTTTTTAATTTTTTTTTAATACATGACGCTTTAACAGGGATCACCAGTGGTCACCAGTTTCTCCCACTTTGTAGCTCTGTGTATCAGTTCATGTGTTTACACGTGTTGGCAAATTTGTGCTTCACAGTCGATTTCCACATGAGAAAAATTTGTTTTAGTAAAAAAGACAAAGAATAACAGAATAAATCTAACCTCCTCCTGTTTATTTACATGTAATTTAATTTATGTGCGTAGAAAAGGAACATGTGCGTGTGATTACACATGCATTTGTGTGTGTGTGTGTGACCAGTGTTTGTCGTATCTCATGTCCACAGTCAGTGTTTTTCCTGAGCTCTGGTTGTGTTTGGAGGGCCTGGATTGCAGATGGAGTTCTGGTTCAGCGTGGTCCTGGTTGGATTCAGGCTCGGCTAAATTTGTGGTGGAATATGGGAGGGCAGGCAGTGGGGGTAATCTTTGCCTGCCCACTGGCCCGCTCCCCCCCCCCCCCCCAAGCTCAATCTTTGAAGTACTAAGTGGACAGGGTACCTTGTCATTAGGGCCGAGCCTTTCATCTGTACTCTGGAGTGTGTGTGTGTAGTTTTTGTGGACATTGTTAGCAGAGGGCACGGCACTGGAGGAAGAGAATGAGGGTGTAATTTTGGATCCTGTCAGGAAAAGAGAACAAGAAAGGAAACAAAGTATAAAGAAAATGAAGTAAAACAAAGATATATTTTGGAATATGTCCACTTTGAGGAAAGATGGAAACGCAGACTTCGACACGACAGATTTTGGGTTTTAATTGTGTATTAACTAAAATCGACACAAGGTTCATTTTTAACAAGTTTTCCATCCAATTTTCACCCACAAAAGATATGCAGATTTTCAAAAG